AAGGGCGCTCCGAATATATGCAAACCCCTCATAAGGGGGTGGCACAGCGTACGACATTTAGCTCCTCCCTGGAGCAAATATCGCACCTGCGACAAAAAGTAAAGATGGAAAATAATGAACATGAGTCCTGAAGCTTCACATCAGACCTCCAGCAATCACAGAAGTTTTCACAGAAAACACTAAGATTACATATCAAAGTAAACTTGCATAGACTTCTGGCCAATACAGAGTTGCCAAAATAGAAAGAAATTCATACCTCTCGAAGAAGCTCTGAAGGAAAACCAGTAGCTTCAAATGATGTTAAAGGAGGGGGTACATTATCTCCCTGATGAAAATTGACAAACAAAAACACCCTAATCCATTACAACAATATAAACTGCACACTGGAAATATAAAGGAATACATAGTGGAAAATTGAAGGAGATCCTAAAACACCATGGACAATGAAATAATGCCACTCTTCTGAATTTCCCAAATGCACGTCTAGTGTAAAAGGCATGAGCCAAAAGAATTCCAATAAAGAAGAAGCGAAGTCTGGGGGGCCAACTTAATTAATCATACTGTTGCAAACTAATAAACTAAATTTAATTGTAATATTCTAAACTGAAAACAAGATTGTTCTGCTTGAGAACCATTCTGTCCCCATAACATCAAAGAAAGCATCATGCGCGACGACCCAAGGATTGAAATATTGAAAGTAAAATACAGAACCCGATGTTCAATCAAGTGGAATGCCTAAGAAGCAAAAGTATTGCAGATTATAAGTAAGCAACCTCATGTACAAATCTTATTATATGCTTACACTAATAGTAATTTCATGCTGACGGCGATAAGATTCGACAGATAGACCATTTCCAACAGCCGAAAGCCCATAACCTCGGCCAGAAGACCCTCCATGTCCAGCACCTATCTCCTCATTAGGAACATTTTGAGAATGATCTGATTCACCTTTCCCACTCTAAAGCAAAATAAGAGAAATTAGTTTAGCAAGCCAACAAGAATAGGACCAAACCATCACAGAAGGAAGTGGAAGTATGGACTAATGCATAAATTCTACCAAAGCAAATTAAAGATTTAAAGATAACCCCTCAATTCTTAGCTACACAGACTTCATGTTTACCAAAATCGATATTTTCCCAAGCAAGTTTTTCACAACTTACACCAAACACAACATTTTAGCTGTCTCAAAAGTAGATGTGACTGCAACCCATTGCAAAACTAAAAATGCTGTGATAAATTTACAACTTCCATAACAATAAGAATTGAAAACCAAACTTGGCAAGGACTTCATAGTGTGGTGTATCCTGGCATTCATCATAGAACAAAATCCTGTCCAATAGTAAACGTCAAACTAAATTAAAATTACTGGCATAAATTCAAGAAATAGACGAACAAGATGTCTGAGGTACTAACATCATCAACCTAGGGCTCATTAATACACATTGAGGTGACACAAATGTAATGGTTATCCATGCTTTCATGAACAAAGTTTCTAATCCCTGTTGAATTCTTGTCAACAAAATCAAAGCCCATCCTAGTTCACTTGCCTAGTGTCAATAAATCAGCTTCTATACTGATTCATTTAAAAAATCAACTAGATATATTCATGGAAGCCAAATGCATCAATATTAAGAGCACTCAATCCACGAAGGCACTTCCCAAAAGCCACTACACAATATCAATTGAGCCAGTTATGGGTGTTCAAACAGTCAAATGCAATAAATACGCCTCATCAAAAAGGGTGAAGACAACAACCAAATAAAGAGAGTACGCAAAGGAAACGAAAATTATTAAACTAATAGTATATCATCCACTTAGATGTTAACACATTATTACAAACTATGCGGAAGAAGATTAGAATTTATCCAAGTATAGTCCACTAACATCCATTAACAACTGGAATTTTTTATTTTTTATTTTTGAATATATATATGACCACCGTTCAACACCTCAAGCAAAGCAAAATCAGGGCGCAGAAGCCTAAATCAAGAATCATCATCCAACTCCCAACCTCCCAACAGGTTGATTGGTTCACAAGTCTAAATATTTCACAAGAACGCAACCTGAGTGACATCAATAGCAGCACTACTGGTTGACTCTCCGAACAAAATATAAAGACAAAAAAGCAACGCTTGTAAACATGAGTAAAACACAGACCTGATAACTCCTTGTTCCTGTATCAAGCTTCGACCCAGTATTGCTACCTCCATTATATCTATCGTCATCATCATTGAAGATACTGTCACGATGTCCATGGGAAGATTGTTGAACTTGAACCGAAGAACTTGCAGGTGCTGAAGACAGCTTTTGTGGTGGAGCTGAGCCCATGTGTGAAGAGGCAGCGGGCTTCTCATATTGAGTGACATTGGTCTCCGGATTCCAGAAGTAAAGATAACCAGTTTTACCATCAACTAGCCCTTTCCAAGGCTTGGGAAGAGTGGGGTCCTCTGGAGCATAACGTGGACCAGCAGAAGAGACGGTTGCAGTAGCCATCATTAAAAAGCTTCAATCTCAAGGATCTGAAGCAAGAAACAGCAATACACATAAAATTAGATAGGTGATTTTCCCATTTTGAGTCGGGGGAATTTGGCAAGTTTTGGAAGGAAAGCAAACTTGCACTGAACCACCAGGGCCGGCCCTGGGGTGAGGCGACTAAGGCGGTCGCCTCGGGCCCCCAATTTTGAACAAAATTTAGGGCCCCAATCAGGGGAGTGTATCTTGTCATGTTATTTCATAATTATTTTAATATTAGCTCAATTTATTTCTTTTTATGTTGTTGTGTGGTGTTATTTTGATTCGTGTTCGATTAATGTTTAATGTGAAAACTTTCACTTTTAGTTAAAAATAACTTAGCAAGTGTATTGAGAGATTAAAATTTTTCTCATAAGTTGAATTTTATAAAATTTATTTCAACTAAATGAAATTATTCATAGAATGTTTGATTTTAATTCAATTGCATTTTTCTAATTAAAAAAATTGTACCTTATTACTATATATTTTTCATTAGATTGACTCTAAAATAGGTAACAAAAAAATATATATCTTAAATGAAAAAAAGATATTAGCCTTAATTATTATTTTAAATACTTTTTTATTCAGTTAGATAGAGTTAAATAAAAGATTAAAAAAATGTCATGGCATCCCTTAGTGAACATTCAAATATATAACTAATAATTCATATTATTGAGTTGTGTCAAGTCTTGGATTCATGTTGAAAATAGTCAACCTTAACTTACTAATTTTATATATTGCTTGAGTTATGTCGAAAATTCTCATCCTTACCCCCAATTAATTTTTGTTCTTTTAGCATTGGTAAGCTAAAAGATAAAGATTCGATTCAACTAATTGAATTTCAACTATTATATATATATATATATATGTTATCTAAATTTTGTTAAATTGTAATGCAATAGAAATAAATTTTTATCTTTTTTGTTTTATCCAAACAATTTTTTTTTTTTTTTTGAATAATGATATATGAAGGGCCCAATTTAAAAAATTTGCCTTAGGCGCCTAATAAGTGAGGGCCGGCCCTGTGAACCACCAATGTTAATCTTAACTTTAAACATATTTTGCGTAAACAATATGAGGATGGTAAACACTAACTCGACAAACAAAATGAATCACATACAAATCCAGCAGACATATTAACTATAGTAAAGGTATCCACAGAGCAGAGAGAAGAGACTTTCAGACTACTAACATGCAAAAAATAAAATGGATTTTAGGGTGACCTAATTGAAAACCATTGCATTTTACAAGGTGAATAACTAAGGTCCACTGCCCAACACTATCCTACAACAACCAAAATTCAGTATTGAAGCAAAGTGAGATAGTTTTGTGTGTGTGCAGAAACGAGAGGCCTTGAGAAGAACTCCAGGCCCAAAATCTAGCTAGTCACCTTTCTCTGGACCACTGCATTGTTCTTCAAAGCTAATGACAAATATGACATGCATAGACAGGTCATAGGCAAATTAAAACCCACAACGTTATGATAAATTTAGACATAATAGTAACAAAGACCAAAGAAACCTAACACACGCTTAAATTTAAGGGGAAATAAACCACATCAACAAATACGGATGCATAAACATAAGCATGAATGGACAAAAAAATATTCACAACTCCAGATGCAAAGATAATCAACAAGATTCGACTAACACAACTCACCCATAAATTTATGGTCAAAACCCTAGTTAATAAACATCTTTCACAAGCTTACTGTTTCAAACATCTTCCCAAAAAAAGTACATCCTTCGGATCATATCATAGACTTCAGAACAACTATCGACGTCAAAAAACCTAATCTGAAACCCTAGATTACAACATATTCAGCGATTCTATTCGGATCTGATACACTTCGAAAGTAACCCTAAAAATGATATGGAGATTGGTAGAGAGGATTGTACCTGCAAAACCACTATGAAGGTGTTGAAAGAGAATTGAGGCGAGAAATGCTCGATTTCTATGGCGGACCTTCTTTCTCTCTCTATAAATCGACAATGACGACGATGAGTGAGTGAGAGCGAGACAGAGAGAGAGAGAGAGAGCTACGCTTCCGACGGCAGAGGGAAGCGTAGGCGAAGGAATAAAGAGGCCTCGGATATTTATAGCAACGGCCAGGTACCGAAGAATCGCTGAGTGCAGTGAATGGAGTGACGCCAGATTCTTTTAAAAAGTATGTGTAGGCTTCAATTTAACAAGCCAAGTTTGAAGGGAGTAAATAAGTGTATTTTTTGATTTTTTTTATATTATGTGTAGAAAAAATAGAGGGGAAATATTGATTGATGTGATTTAAAAAAGATAAAAAGATGAAATAAGTGTATTTTTTTAGGTTAGCCAAACTTGGCCTTAATATTAATTGCATTTTACGGAAAATTATAAAATGTTTTCGGAGTATAAGTTGTTTTTATTCTTTAACTAATTATCATTTATATATTTTTTTATATTTCTCAATCATTTAACACAATGTCTCACTTATTTATTTTCTCCATCAATCATAATATTATAAATATCACATGTTTATATTTCAGAATTACTGAATAATTTCTCACATTTTAATATCTTATAGAGACCCACACTTTTTCTTTAGAAGGGTGGAATAGTGCATTAAGGTCTTGTTTGGAGATTAAATATTTTAATTAAAAAATTATTATGAGTTGTTGCATCATTTTTTTTTTTATATTTTTTTATAAAAAAATTATGAAAATAATATATTTTGAAACGAGACTTAAGAGTAAGTGGCTTTAGACAAAATCAAGGGAACCAATGTTGGTAGAACATCTCAACACAATTAAGGGCTGGTTTGACAAGTGTAAAAAAAGTCAAAAAGTTATCAAAAATATTAAAAAGTTATCACTATTCACTAAAAAAATATAAAAAAATTAATATACAAATATTAAATACAAATCAACTTTTTGTTAAATCAATAAACTGACGTCAGGCCAGCTTAAGTGAAAAGAAAAAAAAAAATTGCATGTGTACATTTACTAAGTTGGATGGTAAAGTTGGGCCCGTGGGGGCCTACCATAGGTCCCGTTTTGATAATCCAAACTGTTTAAGATGTAAAACTCGTCTAGTACTACATATTTGTAAAAAATCACATTGATCAGGTATCGCTAACTACATGATCAAATCAGTTTTGTATAAAAAATGGATGGTGTTATAATTAACGGTTGAAAAAAAATTAATCCAATCAGATAGTTATCGATATCCGATCAACATGACTTTTTACATGTGTATAATACTCGACGAGTTCTACACATTAAACGGGACCTGTGGTGGATTATGAGTTGTTGCATCATTTTTTTTTTTATATTTTTTTATAAAAAAATTATGAAAATAATATATTTTGAAACGAGACTTAAGAGTAAGTGGCTTTAGACAAAATCAAGGGAACCAATGTTGGTGGAACATCTCAACACAATTAAGGGCTGGTTTGACAAGTGTAAAAAAAATCAAAAAGTTATCAAAAATATTAAAAAGTTATCACTATTTACTAAAAAAAATATAAAAAAATTAATATACAAATATTAAATACAAATCAACTTTTTGTTAAATCAATAAACTGACGCCAGGCCAGCTTAAGTGAAAAAAATAAATAAATAAAATTGCGTGTGTACATTTACTAAGTTTGATGGTAAAATTGGGCCCGTGGGGGCCTACTATAGGTCCCGTTTTGATAATCCGAACTGTTTAAGATGTAAAACTCGTCTAGTACTACATATTTGTAAAAAATCATGTCTATCGGATATCGCTAATTACATGATCAAATCAGTTTTGTATAAAAATTAAATGGTGTTATGGTTAACAGTCGACAAAAAAAACTAACACGATCAGAATGCTATCGATATCCAATCAACGTGATTTTTTACAAGCATATAGTACTCGACGAATTCTACACATTGAACGGTTCCAATTAGAAAAATGGGACCCGTGGTAGGCCTCCACGGGCCAAACAACACCGTCCAATCAAAGTCCGAAAAGGAGGCAATCTTTTCTCATGTGTTCACCAAGCCGAATAACTGCCAATCCGTACGGCGTACTACACTATGTTCTCCTACACACTTCTTTATACAATTTTTTAATACACATTTTTTCATAAAAAGTCAAAAAGTTAACACAAACATCCATATTTTTTTACTCAACTTTTTAGTCTAAAAAGACAAAAAGTACACTTATTTAGGACACCCCAAACAACCCCTAAATGTTAATATATTCAAACAACAAGTAAGAAAATTACCAGTCCTAAAACATGACACATAGGTGGTGTTTGGGAACTTAGTTTTTGAGTTTTTTTTTGTTTTTTTTCACTACAAGACAAATGTTTTACAAAACCAAAAAAAACAAATCTAAACAAAATATCACATCAAACCCCATAATCATTTCATTTTTTCTCTCACAAACATCACATCTAACCACAAAAAAACCCAACTATCTTCCCAAACACAAAAAAAAAATTCTCCAATAATATCCTATAACTAAAAAAAACCCACTTCCCAAACACCCACAGAGTAATAAAGCGAAAACTTCTCGACAAATCATGGACACCTTAAGCTAAGTGTTCAAACGGAGAGAGAGCATCACAAGGGTCATTAATCGCTTTGATCACATTTGTCAGATCACCCTCCAAATAGATGTCTTCTAACCACAAATCCTTCGCAAACTGGACTGCTTTAATTGTAACCATGGCTTCCACTAAGTCAACATCCACCCAATACCTCAGCTCCTCAGACAAAGCTACTATGACGAGGCTTGGTGATCCTCTGTGACGCCCCAAAATTTGAGAACATTATAATAAGGTTTATAACTTAAAATCAATTTTTTTAATTAAGAACTTCTAATCATTGTTGCCACCAAGTTTGCCATCATCAATTAATTAACAAAACAAAAATTAAAAGTTCTTAAATTGCAACTTCAATCAAACTTAAAACTTAGTCTTAGTACATTCATGAAAGAAAAATACAAATATAAAAAGAAAGCTAGAGAAAAACTAGGGTT